GAGTTAAAAACCTTTGGCAAAGAAACTTGATCAGTTACTCAATTCGCTGGCTAGAAGTCAAAAACCTGGTCAGTCAGAAAAAACGATGCGTGGTGCTCCTAACCTACTTAAACTGGTCAGAACCGAGGAGTCCATTCTGCATGCATGAACTCGTGAAACTCGTGACCAAGCTCGCAACCATTTCACATGATGGCATGGCTAAGAAGCCTGCGGCTAGCTATGGCCCAGTTGTTGTTCACTGCGAGGACGGAATCAGCAAATCCGGTACGCTTGCAGCCCTTTACTTCCTTTTGGAGTCTTTAAGACATCTGAATGCACCAAACGTGAAGGAGGTCGTCACTTCGATCCGCCAGCAGAGGGCAGAGGCTGTGCCGCAGATCGAGCAGTATTACTTCCTATACAGGGCGTTGCTTGAATTGGTAACAGTGGACAACTGGTTTGCAGATGGATTCGAATCCAGTCTGGCACTGATATATATGCTACGAGATCGTACTACCAACAGCGTTTGCAATATTGTGGTAAGCAACACTGTTCAAAGATTAATATAAGAAATTATTAGAGCACGTGATGTGCAAAGATCTCATAGGAATTAGCAAAAATTGGGGAACCTTCAAAGTATGACTTTGCTGGGGATATGCTGCTGCACACTGACTTGCAGAAGTTGAAGTTGGATATCAGTAACACGCTTTAGGCCTTTTAAATATACAGGAAATGGTTAACCCTTCATGAACGTACAGCTGTGCAGAAATCAATTGCACATGCTTTAGAAAGAGGGCCACTATTTAAGGACAAAATAAATAAGCACCAACTGCTCACTTTCTATAGATTTGAACCAAAGAATGATCAAATCAGTTGGATTCGTTATAAAAATGGCTGAAAATGATTTAGAAACATTAGAAATGCCTAACCTGGTGTGAAAAACTTAACCGTAAATCCAATGGAATAATGACGTCAGATGGTGCAATCAGCGAAACGACCCTATTGTTGAATGAGAATACTGATGAGTTTTCAGTACATAATTAAGCTTACTACGACTTAAGCACTAGATTGTGCTAACAAACAGGGTATGCCTGCGTGATAGCCTAGATTAGGTTTAGATTCGAAATTATCACAACTCACTGCCGAAGAAACGTTTCAGATATCCAAACTCATCGACTGAGACTTATGATGTTTGCCGTGCTGACTGCAGATTGGCCCGTGAATAACAAATTAAACAATGTTGACAGTGACTTTGATGAGACATTTATCAGTCTTAGTGTCAGCAGTTCGTCAGTTCAACAAGAAGGTGTATAATGGCTGAAAAATAGTCACAGGGTGATCGAATTGATGAAACAAAGGGAATACCTGAAAGCACTGTTTGTTCAGGATACGGATAGTACGATGTCTCATAGTTCTACATTTAAAGAGCTATTCTAGGTCAAATCGATAGCAGGGAATACAAATTCATTTTAATAATAAGAACAAAGGACCACCCGCAATAGGTAATCAGCAGACCTTTTCACAGTTCTTTCTAACCGTATGGAGGGGTCGATGAATATTTGGTTAGATATGAAACGAAAATTGAAAGTGTAACTAAACTCTAAAACAAATGAAAAATTTTCTGTCAAAGTGCTAATTAAAGAAACAGTAAAAGCGTATTTTTGCATTGCTAGAAAAAGTTGGTCAAGCATTCAAATCCATTCCAGACCGAACATACAGCTGCTGACTATGCATCATCTGGAGCATTGCAGTCAACAAGAGGCGAAGTTGTTTCAAAGTGTAAGAACCTCACATCTGCTTTCGGAGTGATACTCAGAAGTGAGGGCATCAATCCGCAAAAAGCAAGAGTTAGAAAATACATTGGAAGTGAAGTTAAGAGCGTATTTCTGAAAGATAGCAAAACACGTTCAAGTCTGGCAACGGATCGGCAAGTTAAGCCTGAGGCGAGACGAATGTGCGCATCACCTCTTCAGAAGGTGTCACTAAAGGAACTCAAGAGTCAAACACAGCACTCAGAACATCAATATGCGCCAAACTTCTCTGGTTATTCATCGTCAAGAAGCAAAAGAACGACTCGAAATCAGAACAGAGGACGAGCCCTTTCGGTCATATTGGATTCCCTCTATATGCTTATAGAACCATTCTTGGTGACGCTTCCATCAACGCTAAAGCAGAAACGACGAAAAGCAGAAAAGAATGCAAACCTTGAAAAACATGAAAACAAAAGAAAAGTGGGGCACTGGCGAAAACCGTTAAAGTTTAGGAAACTCATGAAGAGTGCGACTGAAAGACCTTCAGATATTGCGAAAGACGTTGAAGTGCGCACAAAAAACGCAACAGAAGATTACTTGCCTAAAACTGAAAATGCGGCGAAAGTCGGGAAAGCCGGAAGATCTTGAACAGGAAAATAACCGTGACAGAACTATACTAACTGATCAGTAGACCAATCTCGGCGGGACACACAGTGCGGACTAAATACATACCTGAAATAATAAAAACCGCATAGTCAAATAAAAATCGTAATCAGAATGATCAGAATCGTATTGAATCCTTGCCTTAGTTTTCGTCTTCAGACATTTTATTTTCGTGGTTACTGTGGAAAATCCCGTGATCCAGAATATCACTGATAAAGACTTTCATGTTTAAGATGACGCGCACTAACTCGGTAAATCAATTTTTTGAGAAAAAGTCTTGTTGAACAGGTGGAAAAATCGACTTTTACTATAGGTATGTTGAAAATGTACGTCGAACGACATGTACTGATTAAATTAATCAAATGGGGTTCAGAATCTTTAATTAACCGTAGATGAGTACCTCATCTTCGATTTGTACTGTTGGGAACAGAGGGAAGAATTTGAAATCATGCTGTGTGAGGTAGATTTAAAAATCAAGTTGATCAAGCAAGAGAATAATGCAAACGGTTTCTTTTATACATATCGTACAAAACTGTTGTGGTCAACGAATATGCATTTTGCTAATATTTTTTATATCGTACGTTATCGTATTATAAAATTTAAATAGGCTATACATCAGATTGAAGTAGAACAGGCAGCGAAAAAGAATCAGCGATCGGTCTCCCAAAATACGCACTGCTGCAGAGACGCTAAAAGAGGACCCTTTCTCCGATTCGCGTTGTCAACCACTTGATTACATTTTGCACAAACAAAGGTTCACCGTTGGCAGCAAAATGAGGGAGGTCCAACCGCATATCACTCCTTAAACAGTATTCATTAGAAATCCAGTCAGAAAATGGGGACATCTGAGAATGTTCAGTTTATCCGGTTATTAACATTTGAGTTTCTTCTAAAAAGTGCTAGAAAAAAGAACTCAAAGGGTTCATCGAAAAACGGCGCATGATCAGCGTAATGCCTGCTCCAGTCAAAGTATTACTGGGCAAATTGTAAGATATTTGCGTAATTCGCTCGTCCGGAGTTGCGGTGTTTCGTGGATCTTGAAAAAGCATGTTCGAATTCA